GGCAGCGGCAGTGTTCGTAGAGCGTTCCGTGCGCATGCGCGCGAACGCTCTGGCACTTTCGGGGGGATTTAAACATCCCCCCGATATTTTTTTTTAGTTTTCAGATTTTTGTGCACCCCTGGGGACTGCCCCAAGAGTGCACAAAACTCTCCCTGCCCCCCAAGTGCCCCCGAAGTGCAGATATAGATATCCGCATGGAGGAAAATTCAATAAATCATCAATTTTCCACTGCTTAAAAGGGAGACCTCAGGATTAGAATCAATTATAGGGCATTTATGACACCTTTTAAAAAACAAAACCACAGGTCCAGAGGTTATGTCAGTACTTCGGGTTTGCCCAGTACTTCATTCACCAGGCCACTGACATCACTATAGGGCTCTGCTCTTTTTGCTTTGTTTTTAACCAGAATATTTAAACAAAATATCAAAGGATAGTCCATTAACTGGCCATCACTTAAGGCACAAGTACACAATCTAGGCCAGGCTATTAGCCACAAGGTATTAATAGAAGACTATGTCTGGGGCAGTGATGCTCTGTATTCTTGGTGCTTGGGGGGCAACAGTGGGAGGGCTTCTCAAGTTCTGGCCCTGCTGGTGGAGCTCCTGATGGCACCTGGATTTTGGCCACTGTGTGACATGGAATGTTGGACCAAATGGGCCATTGGCCTGATCCAACATGACTTCTCTTACGTTTTTATGATCTAATGTGGTACCTGGGGGCACCATGGCACCTACTAATGCCTTTCCTGGAGCCCACCAAGTGTTTTTAGAACGTGGGTGTGCCCAAGTGGGGCTCTAGTCCAGCCAGGGCCTCTGATTGGTCATGGGATATCTAATTGGCTTTGCCATGTAAAATTGCATCATTTCAGCTGCAGCTGTTACAACAGTGTTGGCTTCATTCTCTCACTCTTCTTGCCCGGTGTATTTTTTTAATTACCCTTCTTCTGTTCTGTGCTTGGGCTTCCCGTGTGTGGCTGTGCCTCCTGCAGCAGTTGCCACCCTGTGACAGAACTCGAAAGGTGTCTGCAGGTTAAAAAAAAGTTGGGGACGCCAATCTAGGCCGCCCCCCAGATGCTGTTTGTTACCTATGGGAACAAATGGCAGTAGTGGGGAATTTATATTAGTGGCTTCTATTAATACAAATGTAAAAGGTGGGAGATGGGATCATTCTTAAGGATTTTCCAGATGTAAATCTCTTTCTTAACCTTATCTGCAGGGGTCACTTTGTAGAAAAAGAGGTACAGGAGCTCATTAGCATAACTTATTTGCATATGCCACACCCCCTGACATCACCAGAAGTGTGTCAGAAGGCAACGCTCAGGCTCCACTGGACGGTTTTGGAATGCTTGCTATGGAGTGGGAAGCGCGCAGATCTGCCCTCACAGAGGAGGGAGACCTTTATCTGAATAAAACTTGGTCTTAAAGGGGCCACTGGGCTGGTTTGGGCTGGGGGGCCGGGGGGGGCTCTGCAACTTACCTGGCTGCTTCTTGCTCTGACTGAGGGCTGCTGGGAGCAGGGGTTGGGGCTTGTTGCATGTGCCCGCCCCCTGGGCTCTTTATTGCTGGAGCTCCACTCCTGTGCGCTCCTACAGGAAATGACCCCTGCTTATCTGTAGCTATATATAAGGCAGTTCCATCCTGCTATAGAGAGAATGGGGGACAGCTATATGCTGTGCTTGAGGAAACTTTCTAAACACGGCACTTGGAGGCCTGACCCTCAGTAACAGGAATCTCACTGAGGATCTGATATTGTCCATGCCCTGATTCTCCCTGAAATCCTTGCAATATACAGGCCCTTCAACCACATACTTCCTGCCTCCCGTACTGATGCACATTTTGCTAATGGCATTTTTGCTTAGTTCTAAGAATTATGCACAGAAGTTACGGTGTTTCATGGGATGTATCTTTTTTTAAAAATTCATACTTTTGGCTGTCTGTTTAACCAAAGGTTAAAGTTGAGAACCAGCACGACTTCCAAGACATTGCAAGTGTGGTGGCCATGGCCAAAACGTATGTCACAACGGAGACCTTCATCGATTCCAAATACGATATCCGAATCCAGAAAATTGGCAACAATTACAAAGCTTACATGTGAGTGACTTTGGGATTGGGTTGGAGGGAACAAAGATATTGATTTCCAAAATATAGGCTTCATATATAATAAATGTTCAAAATGATATTAACTATTTTCCATAGGTGTAATGATTGACCAAGACCTTTTATGTGTTGTAATCCAGTAGTGGTCCTACCATTGAATGAATCGAAGTAGCTGCCTAGGGCATTGCTTTTCAAGATGCAGGTTGATGGTACTGCAGCTGATTAAAAAGTCGACACTTCCTAATGCTGCTTTGTTTCATCAGAAGTAGACTAAAGAGGACAGGATGGAGAGGCAGATTCTATAAAGTAAATTTGACTCTTAAATAGCTAAATTTTTAAAAGTAAATTTATTTTTTAAAAAACATTTAAAAGTAAATTTAATGAAGTAATTTGCTAAATTTGAGCTCTGTGAAGGCCCACTTCACTAACAAAGTATCACAGCTCCAATGACAAAGTGTCGGGAACAAGGGAATAAGCAGGCAAGTTTAGCAGATGTGCAAGGAGAGGGTAAGTAGCATTTTTTTAAATTATATATTATATATATCTAAGTTTTAATATAAAATTATATCTAGATAAGCTAAGTGAAAAGGGTTAAAATAGTAAGAAGGGCAAAAAGTTAAAAAATACCTTTAGGTACCAACATTGTGTAACTTCTCAGTGTTGTAGCTGCTCAAACCACTCAGTAGCAAATTTTAGTTCAAATTTAGTTCTGTGCCAATTTTGTGGTCTAGTTCTAAATTTAGTTTGGTTGTAGCTGCTCAAACTACCAGAGACTAGGAACAGTGAGTTCACAGATAAGGCTAAACCTTAGGCAGGGTTTTGTAACAGAAAAAGGAAAACAAATAACAAAATAAACTGCAGATAGTGTTTAAATACAGCTAGGGCTTAAGAAATAAATGGGGTCAAATTTAAAATGTTAAGCTAATTCTTACATTTGTTAAAGGGGGGGGGTCCCTATAAGGAAACAAGAAGTTACATACCTCTGTAACTGCTGAGGCTATTCTTTAATCCAAGCCTAGGGTTGCCAAGTGTGATTTTCACCGCGATGGGAGACTCCCGGCTGGCAGCTGGAGTGCGCGCGCGCCACATCCACATCACCCGGAAGTGACGCGACCACGCCGGGGACGCTGGGGGCGGAGCCACGACCATCTGAGGGAAAACCATAGAGTTTTCCCTCAGATGACCGTGGCCCCGCCCCCAGCATTCCCGGCATGATCACGCCACTTCCGGTTGACATGCATGTCGGGGTGGGGGGCAACAGTGTTCTGGCCCCACTGGTGGACCTTCTGATGGCACATGGTTTTTGGCCACTGTGTGATGCGGAGTGTTGGACTGGATGGGCTTCTGTTATGTTCTTAAGTAATAAGAAGGACTGGGCCACTGGTAAGACACCCTAGGAACGGTACAAGAAGGCAATTGAGAAGTCCAGTAAACATTTGGCTGGCCACATATGAGCCATGGGAGGAGACAGTAGCATCAGCAGTTGTGACAGCTTTTTATTAGCTAAATTTTGACTGGTCAAGATAATCTAAATGTCATTTTGGACCCAAGCTAAGATCTTCCCTCATTTTCCTAATTTAAATGTTGAGTCTGACAGTTCCAGCTGAAATGTAAAGTTCCTGTTTAGTTTAACAAACTGATGTTTCCAGCCATGTACAGGTGTTCAGGTTGAATGACCACCCTTTACCTTACTCCTCATAAGTAGCTGTCCTAACTTTGTCCCATTGGCTAAAAGAACACAATTGCCGGCCAGTCTTACCTGTAGGGTCCACCTGAAGGTCCTAAATAATTTTGGCTTCCTTGATAGTGAGGATATGGGAGAACTGGGTTTGTGTCTTCACACTGCTGTGGAAGCTTGCTGAGTGATCTTGAGCCTGTCATTCTCTCTTGGCCTACTCTGTCCTGTGGGGTGGTTGTTGTGAGGATAGGGTGAAGAATGGGAAAATAGTGGTGTCAGTTGCTTTGGGTCCCCATGGGGAGAAAGGTGGGGGTATAGATAAATAAAAATTAAACCTCAAGAAGAGGTTGATTCAAGTTTCTCAGAGGGCAAGAACTTGCTCGATTTCACCTCATCTCTCTGCTTCTGCACAATGGCGTTAACTGCAGGGTGCACATCTGCTTATTCTTTCGCCTTCAGGCTTTCTATAATGCCACAAGCTCTTTTTTTGCTGTTTATCATCTCTTTATCTTGTTCAGTGAAATATTAAATCTTTCCTGACTGCTGATTTTAGAACATTCCTAAAACTTGTTGATGCCCTCTAGTGGAAATAATAACAGTAAAGCAGACCACTGCAAGGGCTAAATACTAAATACTGATCCACAACTGCAATTGAAATTATTGAATTTCTGTTTGTGGAAGTTAGGAAATTGAATGTTGCTCAGTTTCCAAACAAAACAGATATTGACTCTCTTCATAGGCACATAACAGGGTTGCTTTCACAAGGAAATTTTGCTCTGGTTTTGTGACCAGGTGGAGATGACTTCTCTCTTCTGTTCAGCAGCCACAAAACAGTGTTTTGGTTTCATCCACTTTTGGGGTCTTCATCAGTTTTTGTTCCATTCTTTACTATGGCCTTTCCTGAAAGATCACAGTCAGAGTGGGTTTGCAGCTGTGTGGATGGGAGGGTTTCAAACCTCTACCCACATCTTCACCATTTCCCCCTTCTGCTACTGGAAGACTTTTTGCTAGCTTTCTTGACCTTCTTTTTTAAGTTGGTACTTTGCTTTAGTGTTACAGTGATATAGCAAGTACCATTTTTTTAAGCCCTCCAGTAGCACAAGCAGGAAATGGAGGGCATGAGGGGATGACCAAGGAAAGTATGGGGAATACCACCACTGTGTGGGTGTTCCACTGTCACTGTGAACGCCTCCACATTTGCACCATCAGTGACTGCCCAACAGGCAAGCATCGCAGTGTGGAAGCAAGCCCAGTTGTCTCCTCATGGGTGCTGTTGAATATAACATTCTAACACTTTACTTCAATGCCCAATAGGTAAAGTGGAATTTCTTATCGAAAGAAATGTCTTATTAAAAGAGTGTATGCTAGCTACTATGTTACATAGAACTCTTTGGTAGACAGTCTGGAAAGATACCTTCTTATTAACTTTTGTTAGAGTCATGCAACAGACAAATGCCAATATCTGTAGTCAGATATGGTAGATAATGGCCTGACTGGATCCAAAATACCAAGAGTGGAAAACTGTTCATGGAACAGAACATTTGTGCACCCAGGGTTCAAGGCTACCCCAGAAACAGTGCTGAGCGCAATGCTGGGGTTTGCAGTGGGGAACCATCCTCCATCACAAGCAAAAGTGTCCTTGAACCAAAGGAAAACAAGAGTGGAATCTAACCCAAAATATTTGACACCAGAGACAAGTCATGATGGAGCTCACATACCCATTCCCCAATGGAAACTGGTCCAGTTAAAGGTGTCCTTTTAAATTGGATTTTCTGGCTTTCGACCTAGCACTACTCAGTATGGTTGGTTAGGAGAAGTAGAATGATAGTGCATTGTTCAGATCCCCACTCTGCCATGGAAGCTTGTTGGGTGATGTTTAGCCAATGGCCAGCCAAACAGAGTCAGGATAACCTACCTAGCAGTGTTGTTGTGAAGATAAAATTGAGAAAGGGAGAATATTGTAAGACACTTTGGGTCCAAAGTAGGGGAAAGAAAAAAAAAGAGTGGAATATAAATGAAGTAAGGAAATAAATATTTTTTATTTACAAAAGAAAAGCACATAACATCTTACTTGGTGACTGAAGTTACTGTTCCAAAACATTGCAGATATATGCCATTGTGAAGGAACTGGTTTCCAGATATATAGCCTTCCTATTGCCATTTATAATATCAATTTCATTTTAAAAATCCATAACTCAGTACTATAGAATTATTCTTCCAAGGATAAGGTACAGGATGTGTTCCAATGAATTATATTATTATATTAACCGCAAATGTAAAATTAGTTCCTAATTATATCCTCTAATTAGCACAATAAATCATAGAATAATCTTAACTGTAGTCCTCTACTCTATGTTTCATAGTACCAAAATCTTTTGATTTTTATCAGTCACAAAAAAGTATGAAATCTGCATTTGACAAGCTACATCACTGACACGTATTCTTATAAAAGGTATAACTTTATTTCAGTCTGTGAGGAAGTGAGTACCATTAGGAGTGGGGTTTTTTTTTTGATTCTGCTGAAAACTCACCAAACAACTATGTTAAATCCATTTCCATTAGTATATATAATTTCATTATGAATAAAGTTTATGTAGGATTTAGCCCAAGCCATTTCCTCTCCTCTTGTACAAAAGACTGGTATGTGGAAATAATTTTGACTTTTTCCTCAGCTTGTTAGTACGAAGGTTTTTTTTTCCTCCTACAATGGAATGTTCACTGTAATTAAAAGAACTTCCTTGCTTCCCCAGTGGATTAAAAAGCTTGTGCTGCTGTTATTAAGACAAAGGACTTTGATCTTAATTGAACACCACTGGTACAATGAAGTGCATTTACAACCATTTGTTTAACTTTCAGGATGTGGACAAATGGTTTTCTTAGTTGAAATGAATGTTCTGGGAAAAGCCTGTAACATGGTAGGGGAAAAAAATGGGAGCCAAGAGGTCTGGGCACTTGCTCTGGCATACTCTGTGGCTGCCCCAGCCATTTCACAGTGTGGGTCAGATACAACCACTCTACATTTGGCCAGGGTTCCCTGACCTGCCTTACAGACATGATGCTGGGGAACTAATATTCCCAACTACACTGGGGCCTGACTCAGCTCAGGGGTATGGCACATTTGACTCAGGAAAACTGCACAGAGGGGAGGTTTAAACTCCTTCTGTTCCCACTATGTGCTTGTGAGCTGAATCAGGTCCTGACATCCTTGGGAACATTAGTTTCCTGATGTCACATCTGTCTGTAAGTTAGGTCAGGAAACCCCAACCTGACTTGTGACACACGTATTCTCTAACCTGGAGCTGTGACACAAATTACTCTTGATGCCATTCAGCATGAGCCAGTGAGATCTGACAGTTTCAGTGTCCAATAAGATGGCTGGGCTGAGTTTGACAATGTGACACTTTTCTTTACCTCAAAGTTCGGGAGACTGAGTTTGTCAGCAGTGTGACAGACATCAACAGCTTAAGGAGACCTATCCCGTAATAACTCTGGTGGAGTCATTGGGACACTGTGTTGCTTTGAAAACCATTGACTTTAGGATAGCAGAGAGAGCTCGTTTTAGCACCAGGTTACAAGTACAATGGAAAGCAGACTGAATGAAAGCCAACATTTCACTTTTTTAAAGCGTTTCCCTTACATCACCCCTTTCTAAACCCCGTTCTAAAGATCACTGATGTCTGTGGGAAGCGTTCCTTTGGCTTTTCTGGCTTGAGGCCTCTCCTGTGCAGTTTAAATTCTGTACTACTGAGTGCAAGGTTAATTATTCTGCAGGCCTTTCACAGACATGTCTACTGTACAAAGCCTAACATATCCAGAAGAGAGTTCATAAAGCCAAAGCAAGAATACCCAGCCAGCATTCCAATAGAGATGTAACTAAGAGGGAGTATGCTAGCCTGCACACAAGGGGAAGTTCCCATCTTGCTGATGAAGCTGCACAATTACCAGGCCATCAGAAACGGAGGACAGCATGGGTCAGAAAGTGTGCCCTGCCAAGTCTGGTCCACTTTCCTCACTTCCACTCCCATCCCTCTTTAACCTGGAGAAAACATTGCCATGTTTGGGGAAACTGATTGTTCTCATGTGGCTTGTTTGTTTTTCCCAGGAGAACGTCAATCTCAGGAAACTGGAAAGCAAACACAGGTTCTGCCATGTTGGAGCAGATCGCCATGACTGAGAGGTAATGAATAGAAGGGATTATAGCCAAAAATGCAATGGGGCTTTCGGTCAATCTGATAAGCATGGCCCCAGGGTTAAATTAACTATTTATCCTAAATATTCTGTAGCATAGAGATTTTATTTATCTATCTTGCTTTCTTGTCTGGTGCAAGCAGCAGTTACCACAGGAAACGGGGGGGGGGGGGGGAGATACCTTCCTGCCTATCTCAGGATCCTGACACGAATTTGTAGGTTACAGACTTGGGCTGGCCTCAGCATACCCTGAGGCTGGGCAGCTGCCAGGGGCCAGAACGTCTAGTGAGGTTCACTGCCACTGACCCCCAGGCACGTATTTCCCCTGCTACCTGTCTGTACCCATGTCATTGAGGAACAGCATGTGGATGTTCACAGTAGTGGCTCCTTATGAACAGCTGGAAAGTGTGGTGACTGTTACATTCTGTGGGAAGTTACGAATTCTGATATATTAGAACAGGAGGCTTGCTTGATTCTGACTGTGGAATATTCAAATAATTGTGTGTGATTTCTGCAGGTATCGACTCTGGGCAGACTCTGTTGCAGAGATGTTTGGTGGCCTTGACATTTGTGCAGTCAAAGCTGTCCACAGCAAGGATGGGAAGGACTATATCATTGAGGTAAAAGGCTGAGTGGAATGTAAATATGCTTGATACAAGGACACACAACAAGACACTCATTTTAAATGCATCAAGAAATTCCGGTGCATGGCTAGTGCACCTCCTTCATATATTCTGTTCCACAGGCAATTCATATTAGCTTATTAGAAGAGCAGAGTATGTGAAAGTGTGCCTTGAGAATAGCTAGTGTGTGACTGGTCTGTCTTTCCAAAACAGCTTGGTCAAACGCACAGCTGAAAAGTGGTAGCCATGTTAGTCTGTCATAGGGAAATAAAAAAGTCCAGTAGCATGAAAAACATTTATTTCACTATGAGCTTAGATGAGTCATCACTCATGTCTTAAGATGCATGAAGGGAAATCATACTGGGAATTCTTCTTATGGGGAAGATTACAAGGGGTGGAGGAAGAACTGAGGTAGAAGGATTTGGTGTGAATTCTGTCAGTAATTTTTAAGTGTAAACTCTCAGTGGAAAGGAACAAGGGGGAAGGTGAGGTGGAAAAGTTAAGTGTGAATGCATTTCTCCAAATGCGTGCCTAAGAAGCATCTCTGTTTCCTAGTAATAAAGATATGCATCTTCCAGCCACTTCTCTCCATGCATCTTAAGTGATGTAGGAAACAGTAACATGTGTTACATCCCTTGCTAAAGGCTAAATTATAAATTAGGAATCTCCAGCCTTGCTAGCACTTCAGGAACTTGGGAAGGGGAGTAGGTGCCACCTCAAAATGACCTCAGTATTCAGCTAGTCAGTCAGCTGGCAGGATGTAACTTGACACTTCCAGTATCAGGGTGCTCATGGGTGCCACATTGGGGTCACTGAGATAGATGGAGCAAATTAGATAAATCCTTGGAAGACAAGATTGTCCATCGCTGTCAACCATGATAACTAAGCAGAATCTCCATGTTTGGAAGCAGTATACCTCCGAATTCTATGGATGTGTATTCGACTGTATCTGAGCCAAAAAACACTTTATAGGTATTTTCTCAGCCAAATACAGTTGTCTATTTTCAGTTATCTGATATTGCCGTTCCGGGATAATCCCATAAATATTTGGGATTATCCAGGAATGCTGGATAGCTGCATTTAAAGAGCTCTCAGCCCCCTTAAATGCTTTTGGAGTTAACTTGCAGCTTGAAGGAGGCGTTTAAAGGAACTGCAAGCACTTTAAATGCCCTTGGAGTTAACTTGCAGCTTGCAGAAGGTGTTTAAAGGGACCACAGTTCCTTTAAATGCTTTCTTTCTTTCTTTTTTTGAAACAATGGAAGATGCAGCACCTTCTTTGGACCCCAGTCCAATCTTTTTGAAACTTGGGGGTTATTTTGAGAAGAGGCACAGTAACTATGCTACAAATTTGTTGCCTTTACCTCAAAAACAGGAGCCCCCCCCCCAGACCCCTGTATACCCCAGATCAATTCCCCATTATAATCTATGGTGATCATTGATTATATAATGGAGTAAAAAAATCCTGAATTCAAATACCACACCAGTCTTGGGATTCAGGAATATCAAGAAATATTGATATTTTCCAGGCCCAATACAACTGATTTATTTTTTTTTGCACACCCCTACCAAGTACCAGATGCATAGAATAGCCAATGTCAACTAGCAATACTTGGTATCTTCCCAGAGGCATTTGACTGGCTGCTGCTAGAAACATGATGATGAGCTAGAAAGATCTAAACCTGGTCCAAGAGAAGCAGTTTGTATGTTCTCAGGACTAAACAACTTGACAGTTTTAATCTTCACCTCTGTAATAAAGTTTCAGATGCGTGTAGGTTTGTGTATGCAACTCCCCCTCCTCCTCCTCCACAACATCACCAATGAGGGCAAGAGAGGTACTATCAGAAAGTTGGGATGTGCAAGTAAATGGGATACTCCATCCCTTTCTCAAAGCATTTCTTCCACTTCTGCATTAGGGTGAGACATGATGGCTAAACTTGTTACTGCTTTCCTGTTTGAAGCATGGGGAAGTTTGCTGACTGGAAGGAAGGCAAGAGCTGATTAACCCCACATCAAAGGCTAGTGTGTACAACAGCAAGAGGATACACAGGCTTCCACTGCGAGTACATTTATCACAAAGCCTTTGGGAAGCTGGTTGAATCCAATCAGCAACAAGACATACAGCATTACTGGGTTCCAAAGTTGTCAACTGCCCAGATATACCTGCTCTGACCCACTCCTGTGCCTTTAACAGTCATTGCCAAGCAAAAAACTGCAGGTGACACTTTTCATAGCAATGAGCATTACCATCCTCTAGTGCCTGTAGATCAAGATGTTTTTTAAAAGCCTGAGGAGCAGATGCCTGTAAAAGTTGGCAGTCCTATGCTTATGATTTACAAATAGAAGGCAATTCCCATCTGAAAGGGAAAAAAATGATTGTGTTTTAATCTGCTTAATCTTGTGCTACACACCCAGGCCACAGATGAAATTATAACTGAACTCTCTGAGGCAGACTTTGGACAGAGCATCAACAGGTGCATTTGATTCTAGGTTCTAGTTTTTCCCCCCATGAAACCTTTAAAGTAAGACCTGTAAATGGTTTAATCAGAGCCACAACTTACTGGGGGTAGCTGATAAATTGAAACAAGCTCCCAGTGGAGTTTGTGGGTGGCATGAATAATGGTGTGTTGTGTCCCAGGGGAATTCTTTTTGAAGTAAGACTTACTATGCTGGGGGGTCTTATTTGTGGGAGTGGGGTCAATGGGAGAGGGGTGAATATCTCAAAAGCCAGCAAAGGGGAAAAAATCAAAGCTGAAATTTAAGATCTGCTCAGTGGGAGGGAGAAGAAAATCAGGGCAAGTGAGCTGAAGAATGAGCAAGTGTCCTTGGTTACCGCATGAGGATGTTGGAATGGAGACTTGGTGTCTGACCTGTTGTAAACTCCACCAACGCAGGGAGATGAGCAAAGCTGGCCTACAGCTACATTCAGGGCCACTGAGAAATCGAAACAGCGGCATGTGGGAAAGCACTCCCACCCACTGAGCTCTGCAAAGCTGATGAGAACCACATGAGCCCTGCGGGTAATGGCACATTCTTGCACTGTGCAAGTATCCTGCAGGAATCAGGGACAGGTCAAAGGGCATGTGAGACAAGTGTGCTGCCAGGAAGGAAAATATGTTAGTTTTAGCCTGATCTTTTCTCTTGGTCTCCCCTTTATTCTTTTCCTGCAGACTGTTCCAGAGCAGCTTCTGGTAATGTTGCAACTGGGTACTTTTAAGGAGGGGTGTATCCATGCACAATGGTTGGGGGGGATTTCTTTGTCAACCAGTGTACATTTAATGGAAGAAGTTAACAGCTGAATGATCAAAAATGGATCCTGGGGTAGCTGCTCTTGGAAAAATACATGAGCACCCTTAGCTATTTAATCATGAGATAATTTAGCCAATGAGATGATTGTTTGCAAACACCAAAAAAGGAATAAAGGCAATTTCCCAGCTGAACATTAGGTTCAGAGGAGGTCAGGATGCCAGGGACCCTACTGGCCACGGTAGCATCCTGACCTTGAACCTGCTTTATAAGACCCCAAACCACACAGAGAGTTTTATTAGATACAATTGCCTTTTTGTGCTCTGCAGAATTGTGTGACTATAACTTCACCACAGTATCTTGAATTCATCTTGAGGATTCTGAGACAGCAGCTATCTTCCTCTGGAACCAAGAACAAAAATTATAAGAGACTGAGAGTTCCAAGCAGCCTGGAGAAAATATGTCCTGCCCCTATTAGGGACAGGTCTCCTGTGTTATTTTACTTGCCATGCTGTGAAAAGGATCAGCTGCCAAATTCCACAAGTTCAACCTCTGTTAAAGGGCCAGGCAATTCCCCCCCCCCTCCAATTGTTGCCAGCTTTTAAACTGGTCCCTCTAGCTGTCCCTTTAAAATCAATTTGGTGTGCAAGCAATTGGGGGGTTAAGGCTCAGTGGCAGAGCATCTGCTTGGCATGCAGAAGGTCTCAGGTTCAATCCCCACCTTCTCCAGTTAAGGATCAGGTAGTAGGTGATGGCAAATAGAAGGGGAAGTCTTGGAAGCAGTGACAGACTTCACGTTCCTGGGATCCAAGATCACTGCAGATGGTGTCTGCAGCCATAAAATTAAAAGACGCCTGCTCCTTGAGAGGAAAGCAATGGCAAATCTAGACAGCATAATAAAAAGTAGAGACATCACCCTGCCAACAAGAGTCTGTATGGTCAAAGCAATGGCATTCCCAGTAGTAATGTATGGCTGCAAGAGTTGGACCATAAAGAAGGCCGAGCGCTGAAGAATAGATGCTTTTGAATTATGGTGCTGGAGAAGACTCTTGAGAGTCCCCTGGACTGCAAGGAGATCGAATCAGCCAATCCTAAAAGAAATCAACCCTGACTGTTCCCTGGAAGGCCAGATACTGAAGCTGAAGCTCAAATACTTTACCCACCAAATGAGAAGGAAGCACTCACTGGAGAAGACCCTGATGCTGGGAAAGACTGAAGGTCAAAGAAGGGGACAGCAAAGGATGAGATGGTTAGACAGTGTTATCGATGCAACAAACATGAAACTAAGCAAACTCTGGAGCACAACAGAAGACAGGAGGGTCTGGCCTGATGTGGTCCATGGGGTCACGAAGAGTCGGACTTGACTGTGCGACTAAACAACAACAACAGTAGGTGATGTGAAAGACCTCTGCCTAAGGCCCTGGAAAGCCACTGCCAGTATGAATAGACAATACTGACTTTGATGGACCAATGGTCTGATTCAGTATAAGGCAGTTTCATATGTTTCAAATGTTCAGTTCTCAGGTAATGTTGATTAACTTCATGCCTTGAAAAGCTTCAACATTCTATTTCCACCTCTGTTAAAGGGACAGATCTTTTCCTATCCAGGTGGCAACCTTGGTAGAAACAGACAGGTGAAGTTTTCATTGCACGAAGTTTAACAACATTCCCCAATAATTACTTGCAGATCAAAATTATATTAAAAGGACAGCTGGAGGGGCCAGTTTAAAAGTTGGCAAATTTATCAGGTATTA